CTGGTGAGTGTCGTCCATCCTACGATGACGTTGTATGCCGTTGGGCAGTCAACGATGAGGAATTGGTCGTAGGTCATCGTTATTCTGGGGGCAACGCCGAAGGCGATGGGCAAACTGATACTGCCGACTGGCTGGACCAGATCCCAAAAAAAATTGAGTAGAGGCATTATCTGCCAATTGACCATGCTGTCGGCAATTCCCAATCCTCTGAAGGCATCGGTAAAAATCACATTTACCAAACTTCAAGTGTCGATCAGTACCCGACCTACATCGTAATTGGTGATTTCGGCCCCAATGATCATTGGGTCATCGTGGGGGTAAATGATCCCTTCCTCCTCTTCTTCGCAAAATGTGATGGGCTCCCAACCCACCTTCGGAACCTTGTGGTGCCGATCGGTTTCTATGCCAAAGACTTGAGGGTGGTGAGCGGCACGCACATATTGCTTCACCGATCGGTTAGAGGGTCCCACCAGAGTGGGGCCTCCGCTGATGGTGCTGTTCATGTTGATTTGCCGATTCGCGTTTGGGGCTAGTGCCTGCAGTGGTCTAGCAATGTATTGATCCAGCTTTCCCTCCCGAATCAGGCGTTCAACAATCTTCCTCAGACTGATGCAGTCTTCGGTGTTGTGGTTGTTCTGCTGGTGATATCGGCAGAATTTGCCGGTATCCCGATTGTCCTGCTGATTGGGCTTTCGGATTGGTTTCGGGATTTGGCCGTGCTCGTTCATCAGGATGACCTCATAAGTAGTATTCAACAGAGTGAAGACTTACTGAGCGCGATCGTGATTAGGTAGCGGCGCTCGGTGATTGTTGCGACCGTATTTACCACGCCCCTTCTTTGAGCTTCCTTGCCGATTATCACGGTCGTCCTTTCGCTTATGACCTGCCGAAGAGTCGTCTCCGCCCAGGATAGCTCTTCGTTGTCGATTCCTCCTGCCGTGCTGAAGGCTTGGGCTTGGAGTTGAAATATTCAGCCTTGGCGTGGACTGCCGCCTGCTTCATTAGCTCGTCATATGTGCGCCAGTTGCTACTGTGCACGAGATACCGAAAGTGAGAGGACCGAAGGCCACTCTTGAAGGCGTCATAAGCTGCCGTATCATCCGTTTCTGGATACCTTGAGTATTCATGACTGAAGCGCGCAGCGTATTCCCGTAGGGGTTCATCTTCTCTCTACCGAACCATGTACAGATCATCGGCAGAGTACAGACGATCCTTCTGGATCATGAAGTGATTGAGAAAAATCTGCTTCAGCTCGTCAAACGAGTCTACCCTTCCTGGTTCAAGACAGTAGAACCAGTTCAGAGCGGCTCCGGTAAGGGAGGATGGGAACAACAGGCATTGCCCCTCATCGCTGAGGCCCTTACATCCGACTGCCGATTAGAAAGAGTGAAGGTGCGTCAAGGGGTCGTCCACGCCGGTATAAAACAGTATGAGCAATGGCTGTACCTCCCTGTCCTGTCTGGACTTCTTGATGCGCTCGGTAAATGGTCCTGGCTGAAGTTTCCCCCAGTCAGGTTCTTGGGACCGGGTTCGGTCGTCTTTCATCTTCTGGATTCTCTGGAAGAGCAGACGGATAGCGGGGTCTCGGCTTGGGACCTCCTCGGAAATGTAGTCTTCGGAAGTTCTCCTCGGACTTGGTGGTCTTGCCTTCGAATACTCCGTGGGAGTTTCTGAACAGTAGCTTGATTCGGTGCCCTTGGAGGGGCATACTCATCGTCAGATTCTACTTCCGACTCCAACCCTCAGACCTTTCGAAGGGATGACTTGTTTCCAAGGACCCCCATCCGTGAGTCCCGCAGGCGAGCATTGATCCTGATTGGGGACCTCTGCCATTCGGCATCCTTGTCGTTGATCCGATGGCGACAGTCGATGTAGACCTTTTTCAGTATGTGAGGCTGGTCCCATGGAGCCGGGACTACCAGCTGTTTGGAAGGCGCAGGCGTTGCCTTTGCCCCCTTCTTCCCCTTCTTCTGCCGACTGGGAGTCTGCAGACTCTGGGAAGATTCCGTAGCTTGGATGTGGTGTGTTTCCTGGTGCTTG